TTCACACTGCTGGTGTGTTTAAATTTTTTTGACATAGGGTGCAGGCAGATTACGGGCCTCACATAGCTGCTGCCAGGCCCCTAATCTGCCATGGGCCCCTATATACCGCCTCCTCATGCTGCTGCCAAGTCCAGAGTCTCTCATGGGTCCCTGTACGGCCTCCCATTGCTGCTGTGTACTTTCAGGTCTCTTCACACTGCTGGTGTGTTAAATTTTTTGACATAGGGTGCAGGCAGATTACGGGCCTCACATAGCTGCTGCCAGGCCCCTAATCTGCCATGGGCCCCTATATACCGCCTCCTCATCTGCTGCCAAGTCCAGAGTCTCTCATGGGTCCCTGTACGGCCTCCCATTGCTGCTGTCTCCATCGCCACACTCTGCTGCCATGTGCCACTTTCAGGTCTCTTCACACTGCTGGTGTGTTAAATTTTTTGACATAGGGTGCAGGCAGATTACGGGCCTCACATAGCTGCTGCCAGGCCCCTAATCTGCCATGGGCCCCTATATACCGCCTCCTCATGCTGCTGCCAAGTCCAGAGTCTCTCATGGGTCCCTGTACGGCCTCCCATTGCTGCTGTCTCCATCGCCACACTCTGCTGCCATGTGCCACTTTCAGGTCTCTTCACACTGCTGGTGTGTTTAATTTTTTGACATAGGGTGCAGGCAGATTACGGGCCTCACATAGCTGCTGCCAGGCCCCTAATCTGCCATGGGCCCCTATATACCGCCTCCTCATGCTGCTGCCAAGTCCAGAGTCTCATGGGTCCCTGTACGGCCTCCCATTGCTGCTGTCTCCATCGCCACACTCTGCTGCCATGTGCCACTTTCAGGTCTCTTCACACACTGCTGGTGTGTTAAATTTTTTGACATAGGGTGCAGGCAGATTACGGGCCTCACATAGCTGCTGCCAGGCCCCTAATCTGCCCATGGGCCCCTATATACCGCCCTCCTCATGCTGCTGCCAAGTCCAGAGTCTCTCATGGGTCCCTGTACGGCCTCCCATTGCTGCTGTCTCCATCGCCACACTCTGCTGCCATGTGCCACTTTCAGGTCTCTTCACACTGCTGGTGTGTTAAATTTTTTGACATAGGGTGCAGGCAGATTACGGGCCTCACATAGCTGCTGCCAGGCCCCCCCTAATCTGCCATGGGCCCCTATATACCGCCTCCTCATGCTGCTGCCAAGTCCAGAGTCTCTCATGGGTCCCTGTACGGCCTCCCATTGCTGCTGTCTCCATCGCCACACTCTGCTGCCATGTGCCACTTTCAGGTCTCTTCACACTGCTGGTGTGTTAAATTTTTTGACATAGGGTGCAGGCAGATTACGGGCCTCACATAGCTGCTGCCAGGCCCCTAATCTGCCATGGGCCCCTATATACCGCCTCCTCATGCTGCTGCCAAGTCCAGAGTCTCTCATGGGTCCCTGTACGGCCTCCCATTGCTGCTGTCTCCATCGCCACACTCTGCTGCCATGTGCCACTTTCAGGTCTCTTCACACTGCTGGTGTGTTTAAATTTTTTGACATAGGGTGCAGGCAGATTACGGGCCTCACATAGCTGCTGCCAGGCCCCTAATCTGCCATGGGCCCCTATATACCGCCTCCTCATGCTGCTGCCAAGTCCAGAGTCTCTCATGGGTCCCTGTACGGCCTCCCATTGCTGCTGTCTCCATCGCCACACTCTGCTGCCATGTGCCACTTTCAGGTCTCTTCACACTGCTGGTGTGTTTAATTTTTTGACATAGGGTGCAGGCAGATTACGGGCCTCACATAGCTGCTGCCAGGCCCCTAATCTGCCATGGGCCCCTATATACCGCCTCCTCATGCTGCTGCCAAGTCCAGAGTCTCTCATGGGTCCCTGTACGGCCTCCCATTGCTGCTGTCTCCATCGCCACACTCTGCTGCCATGTGCCACTTTCAGGTCTCTTCACACTGCTGGTGTGTTAAATTTTTTGACATAGGGTGCAGGCAGATTACGGGCCTCACATAGCTGCTGCTGCCAGGCCCCTAATCTGCCATGGGCCCCTATATAACCGCCTCCTCATGCTGCTGCCAAGTCCAGAGTCTCTCATGGGTCCCTGTACGGCCTCCCATTGCTGCTGTCTCCATCGCCACACTCTGCTGCCATGTGCCACTTTCAGGTCTCTTCACACTGCTGGTGTGTTTAAATTTTTTGACATAGGGTGCAGGCAGATTACGGGCCTCACATAGCTGCTGCCAGGCCCCTAATCTGCCATGGGCCCCTATATACCGCCTCCTCATGCTGCTGCCAAGTCCAGAGTCTCATGGGGTCCCTGTACGGCCTCCCATTGCTGCTGTCTCCATCGCCACACTCTGCTGCCCATGTGCCACTTTCAGGTCTCTTCACACTGCTGGTGTGTTTAAATTTTTTGACATAGGGTGCAGGCAGATTACGGGCCTCACATAGCTGCTGCCAGGGCCCCTAATCTGCCATGGGCCCCTATATACCGCCTCCTCATGCTGCTGCCAAGTCCAGAGTCTCTCATGGGTCCCTGTACGGCCTCCCATTGCTGCTGTCTCCATCGCCACACTCTGCTGCCATGTGCCACTTTCAGGTCTCTTCACACTGCTGGTGTGTTAAATTTTTTGACATAGGGTGCAGGCAGATTACGGGCCTCACATAGCTGCTGCCAGGCCCCTAATCTGCCATGGGCCCCTATATACCGCCTCCTCATGCTGCTGCCAAGTCTAGAGTCTCTCATGGGTCCCTGTACGGCCTCCCATTGCTGCTGTCTCCATCGCCACACTCTGCTGCCATGTGCCACTTTCAGGTCTCTTCACACTGCTGGTGTGTTTAAATTTTTTTGACATAGGGTGCAGGCAGATTACGGGCCTCACATAGCTGCTGCCAGGCCCCCTAATCTGCCATGGGCCCCTATATACCGCCTCCTCATGCTGCTGCCAAGTCCAGAGTCTCTCATCATGGTCCCTGTACGGCCTCCCATTGCTGCTGTCTCCATCGCCACACTCTGCTGCCATGTGCCACTTTCAGGTCTCTTCACACTGCTGGTGTGTTAAATTTTTTGACATAGGGTGCAGGCAGATTACGGGCCTCACATAGCTGCTGCCAGGCCCCTAATCTGCCATGGGCCCCTATATACCCCCGCCTCCTCATGCTGCTGCCAAGTCCAGAGTCTCTCATGGGTCCCTGTACGGCCTCCCATTGCTGCTGTCTCCATCGCCACACTCTGCTGCCATGTGCCACTTTCAGGTCTCTTCACACACTGCTGGTGTGTGTTTAAATTTTTTGACATAGGGTGCAGGCAGATTACGGGCCTCACATAGCTGCTGCCAGGCCCCTAATCTGCCATGGGCCCCTATATACCGCCTCCTCATGCTGCTGCCAAGTCCAGAGTCTCATGGGTCCCTGTACGGCCTCCCATTGCTGCTGTCTCCATCGCCACACTCTGCTGCTGCTGCCATGTGTGCCACTTTCAGGTCTCTTCACACTGCTGGTGTGTTTAATTTTTTTGACATAGGGTGTGCAGGCAGATTACGGGCCTCACATAGCTGCTGCCAGGCCCCTAATCTGCCATGGGCCCCTATATACCGCCTCCTCATGCTGCTGCTGCCAAGTCCAGAGTCTCTCATGGGTCCCTGTACGGCCTCCCATTGCTGCTGTCTCCATCGCCACACTCTCTGCTGCCATGTGCCACTTTCAGGTCTCTTCACACTGCTGGTGTGTTTAATTTTTTGACATAGGGTGCAGGCAGATTACGGGCCTCACATAGCTGCTGCCAGGCCCCTAATCTGCCATGGGCCCCTATATACCGCCTCCTCATGCTGCTGCCAAGTCCAGAGTCTCTCATGGGTCCCTGTACGGCCTCCCATTGCTGCTGTCTCCATCGCCACACTCTGCTGCCATGTGCCACTTTCAGGTCTCTTCACACTGCTGGTGTGTTTAATTTTTTTGACATAGGGTGCAGGCAGATTACGGGCCTCACATAGCTGCTGCCAGGCCCCTAATCTGCCATGGGCCCCTATATACCGCCTCCTCATGCTGCTGCTGCTGCCAAGTCCAGAGTCTCTCATGGGTCCCTGTACGGCCTCCCATTGCTGCTGTCTCCATCGCCACACTCTCTGCTGCCATGTGCCACTTTCAGGTCTCTTCACACTGCTGGTGTTTTAAATTTTTTGACATAGGGTGCAGGCAGATTACGGGCCTCACATAGCTGCTGCCAGGCCCCTAATCTGCCATGGGCCCCTATATACCGCCTCCTCATGCTGCTGCCAAGTCCAGAGTCTCTCATGGGTCCCTGTACGGCCTCCCATTGCTGCTGTCTCCATCGCCACACTCTGCTGCCATGTGCCACTTTCAGGTCTCTTCACACTGCTGGTGTGTTAAATTTTTTTTGACATAGGGTGCAGGCAGATTACGGGCCTCACATAGCTGCTGCCAGGCCCCTAATCTGCCATGGGCCCCTATATACCGCCTCCTCATGCTGCTGCTGCCAAGTCCAGAGTCTCTCATGGGTCCCTGTACGGCCTCCCATTGCTGCTTCTCCCATCGCCACACTCTGCTGCCATGTGCCACTTTCAGGTCTCTTCACACTGCTGGTGTGTTAAATTTTTTGACATAGGGTGCAGGCAGATTACGGGCCTCACACATAGCTGCTGCCAGGCCCCTAATCTGCCATGGGCCCCTATATATACCGCCTCCTCATGCTGCTGCTGCCAAGTCCAGAGTCTCTCATGGGTCCCTGTACGGCCTCCCATTGCTGCTGTCTCCATCGCCACACTCTGCTGCCATGTGCCACTTTCAGGTCTCTTCACACTGCTGGTGTGTTAAAATTTTTTGACATAGGGTGCAGGCAGATTACGGGCCTCACATAGCTGCTGCCAGGCCCCTAATCTGCCATGGGCCCCTATATACCGCCTCCTCATGCTGCTGCCAAGTCCAGAGTCTCTCATGGGTCCCTGTACGGCCTCCCATTGCTGCTGTCTCCATCGCCACACTCTGCTGCCATGTGCCACTTTCAGGTCTCTTCACACTGCTGGTGTGTTAAATTTTTTGACATAGGGTGCAGGCAGATTACGGGCCTCACATAGCTGCTGCCAGGCCCCTAATCTGCCATGGGCCCCTATATACCCGCCTCCTCATGCTGCTGCTGCCAAGTCCAGAGTCTCTCATGGGTCCCTGTACGGCCTCCCATTGCTGCTGTCTCCATCGCCACACTCTCTGCTGCCATGTGCCACTTTCAGGTCTCTTCACACTGCTGGTGTGTTTAATTTTTTTGACATAGGGTGCAGGCAGATTACGGGCCTCACATAGCTGCTGCCAGGCCCCTAATCTGCCATGGGCCCCCCTATATACCACCGCCTCCTCATGCTGCTGCTGCCAAGTCCAGAGTCTCTCATGGGTCCCTGTACGGCCTCCCATTGCTGCTGTCTCCATCGCCACACTCTGCTGCCATGTGCCACTTTCAGGTCTCTTCACACTGCTGGTGTGTTTTAAATTTTTTGACATAGGTGCAGGCAGATTACGGGCCTCACATAGCTGCTGCCAGGCCCCTAATCTGCCATGGGCCCCTATATACCGCCTCCTCATGCTGCTGCCAAGTCCAGAGTCTCTCATGGGTCCCTGTACGGCCTCCCATTGCTGCTGTCTCCATCGCCACACTCTGCTGCCATGTGCCACTTTCAGGTCTCTTCACACTGCTGGTGTGTTAAATTTTTTTTTTGACATAGGGTGCAGGCAGATTACGGGCCTCACATAGCTGCTGCCAGGCCCCTAATCTGCCATGGGCCCCTATATACCCCCGCCTCCTCATGCTGCTGCCAAGTCCAGAGTCTCTCATGGGTCCCTGTACGGCCTCCCATTGCTGCTGTCTCCATCGCCACACTCTGCCATGTGCCACTTTCAGGTCTCTTCACACTGCTGGTGTGTTTAATTTTTTGACATAGGGTGCAGGCAGATTACGGGCCTCACATAGCTGCTGCCAGGCCCCTAATCTGCCATGGGCCCTATATACCGCCTCCTCATGCTGCTGCCAAGTCCAGAGTCTCTCATGGGTCCCTGTACGGCCTCCCATTGCTGCTGTCTCCATCGCCACACTCTGCTGCCATGTGCCACTTTCAGGTCTCTTCACACTGCTGGTGTGTTTAATTTTTTGACATAGGGTGCAGGCAGATTACGGGCCTCACATAGCTGCTGCCAGGCCCCTAATCTGCCATGGGCCCCTATATACCGCCTCCTCATGCTGCTGCCAAGTCCAGAGTCTCTCATGGGTCCCTGTACGGCCTCCCATTGCTGCTGTCTCCATCGCCACACTCTGCTGCCATGTGCCACTTTCAGGTCTCTTCACACTGCTGGTGTGTTAAATTTTTTGACATAGGGTGCAGGCAGATTACGGGCCTCACATAGCTGCTGCCAGGCCCCTAATCTGCCATGGGCCCCTATATACCGCCTCCTCATGCTGCTGCTGCCAAGTCTAGAGTCTCTCATGGGTCCCTGTACGGCCTCCCATTGCTGCTGTCTCCATCGCCACACTCTGCTGCCATGTGCCACTTTCAGGTCTCTTCACACTGCTGGTGTGTTAAATTTTTTTGACATAGGGTGCAGGCAGATTACGGGCCTCACATAGCTGCTGCCAGGCCCCTAATCTGCCATGGGCCCCTATATACCGCCTCCTCATGCTGCTGCCAAGTCCAGAGAGTCTCTCATGGGTCCCTGTACGGCCTCCCATTGCTGCTGTCTCCATCGCCACACTCTGCTGCCATGTGCCACTTTCAGGTCTCTTCACACTGCTGGTGTGTTAAATTTTTTGACATAGGGTGCTGGCAGATTACGGGCCTCCCATTGCTGCTGCCAGACATGTAATCTGCCATGGGCCCCCGTACCGACTCCTCATGCTGTGACGTTGCAACAAGGTGTAATTCAACCCTACATATGTTAGACCGCCTTTACGAACAGCTAAAGGCCATCACAGATTTCCTGATGTTAAAAGCGGATAAAGGTACTCCCTGTGTAACTTAGATGTCAGCCATTGTCAGCTCATGTGTGACACCTGCGCTTGCTCAGGCCCCTTTGAGGAGGCCACGCTATTCGTGAGTCGGCAGGACTATGGGATGAATGAGGTCAAATCGGCCATGGGCCCCCGTACCGCCTGTTCACGCTGCTGATGCTGGTCCCACAGTGTGACCTGGGTCCCTGTACGGCCTCCCATTGCTTCCACTCTGCCATGTACCTCTTTGAAATCTCCTCACACTCCTGCGGTTGTCCATTTTGTCATAGGTTGCTGGCAGATTAGCGGCCTTCCATAGGTGCCGCCAGGCTATGCCAGGCCCCATATCGACCATGGGCCCCCCGTACCTCCTGGTCACGCTGCTGCTGCTGAGCCCACAGTGTGACCTGGGTCCCTGTACGGCCTCCCATTGCTTCCACTCTGCCATGTGCCACTTTGAAATCTCCTCACACTCCTGCGTTGTCCATTTTGTCATAGGTTGCTGGCAGATTACAGGCCTTCCATAGGTGCCACCAAGCCCCATATCGGCCATGGGCCCCCGTACCGCCTGGTCACGCTGCTGCTGGGCCCACAGTGTGACCTGGGTCCCTGTACCGCCTCCCATTGCTCCCACTCTGCCATGTGCCACTTTCAGGTCTCCTCACGCTCCTGCTGGTTTCCATTTTGTCATAGGTTGCTGTATGGCCTCCCATTGCTGCTGCCTCCACCGCCACACTGTGGCTCCAAACACTGGTTTTGGCCCCGTGACTGGCCAAAGGAGTGAAGTGTGCAGTGATTCTAAGATCGACGGCACTCATCTGCATGTCATACTGACAGACAGTATTATTTCTCTTCCCCAGCAGACTCCAAGGGCATTTAAATTAAAGGTACAGTGTTCTGCACTAATATTAAGTCTCTCTGAAGCCTAGAAACACCCTTTTTTAAGTTAAATTCACAGCGAATTTATTCGACTCGAATCGAATATTGTCCACAGAATTCGCCGAATCAGTCGAATCGAATTTTTCATTTCTTCGCTCATCTCTAATTGTGATCATGTGATCACATAGCGATCACATGACCACCGGGTCCCAGTTACCAAGATCCACACATTGGTCTCACATGGGGGAGCACTGCGCCCCCCCTGGGTTAGGTTGGTTGGGTTAGTACAGGATGAGCCAGTGTATTGCTTTGCATGTAGCTGCCACTCGTCCACAGTAAAAGTCCTGTGGGCGGTCATTAAATGGTTAAAGGAATTGTATCATTTTAATTTTGCCCTTTATGCCTTATTTAAAGTGATGCTCCCCCTAAACAATATTTTGTTTTTAATTTTTGCATTGGCTCTCCCAAGGCAGTGCCCAGCTCTTTGTTTATTTGACGTTCCCTTGCCTATTCCTTTTATCTTCCCTTTATTTGACATACCCCTGCCTATTAACCTTGCAAATGGAGACAATGGTCTTTCAATATCTACCTCCCATTGACTTCAGTGGGGATTACATTAAAGTTACTGTAGCCATTTGCAGATTTTTGTCCATGTTCGCCAACATGCCCACAAATCAAACATAAGCAGATTTGCCTATTGCAAGCAGAGGCATCTGTACAGGAAGACCGTCTTCATATATTTAATTAAGAAATACTGTAAAATGCATATTTGTAAATTTATGAACTAGCATGACAACATACAACCAAGAAGTTTTTTTTTTTGGCTAACAGCATCAAATTATTAATAAAACATGTTTGCAGTGAGAATAGTCAGTCAGGAAAAGGGTAATTGTAACGGAACGCCTGTCACCCTGATTGGGTGATTCCGTCAGATAACTGCTTCCTCGCCGCTGGGACACAGGACCAAGGAATTATAGCTAGGCATTGCACCCAATATATACTTCAGAAATAGGGGCAGCCCCTACATGAACAGTAAAACAAATATTGAACTTTGAGGTAAACATCCCACAATGATTAGGTAAGAGCTTGATCACATTATCCTAAACAATGCAAACGGTAAACAGTAAAGCCAACAGCTAACAATGTTCTAATTAACAGAAAGCTAATCAACAGCCAGGCACCCAGTCAATGCTTTGATTAATCAGGGAGCCCATCCCAGACAGACCAACAACAAGCTCAACCCTGAATATACCAAGTCTATTACACATGCTGTCTATCAGGTGTTTGCTTTCACTTGTATAATCTGCCCATCATAAGACAAAACTCACATGATATTCCAACAGTTTGAAAAAGTGGAATTAATATATGTCCATAGATTTCTTGAGGGAGATTGTTGATAAATATTTCTGTCCCAAATAGAGATGCTTCTCCAACCCAGTCCACATGAGAGCCACCATATTTCTTCTGACCATTAACCTGTACAAGATTAATATTACACCGTTCCATCCACTCCAGAAGGGAAGATTTATTATCTTTATGCAGAGAATTAATCAAATGTTCTTCACATTGTTGTCCATCATTAGAGAATGATCTGCTCTTTTCATGGGCCATAATCAGTGGCTAACCCCTAGTCCCCTCCAAAAGCACCTGTCCCTGTTAGGTCTGTCACAGTAGTAATTCAACATTTTCAAACAATATAATAAGTGACAGCTAGCATTGACAATTTATTGACAAATTAAGGCTAAATAAGATGGCAAGATAAGATTAGCATATAGGCGTGCTGGCAAAATAGGATTAGTACAGGGGTGTCATTAAACATCACCTCCATGTTAATAAAATATGAAAAGTTTGGGCTGAATCTATACTTAAGCTACCCAAAATAGAAACTCTTCACCTCAAGTGCAGTGACCAAATTTAGGATGTTTCTTAAACTTGGTGAAATTATCTACTGCTTTATAATACCTAATTACTGCAAATGATTATATATACCAAATGTAGGAATTATGCTTAATGACTGTGTATACAGTATCTTAGCTGTATATTATGTTAAAAAGAGCCAAAGTTCAAAAATAGTTTATTTAGCAAAATATTAACAAACTACTATTCAGCTCTAGTTAATTCCCAAAGTATAGTTGGAAAATGTTACAGTTTTATAAGTGCTTTGCACATAATTATTTAGCGGTAGAGAGAAAACACCTCTTTATCCTTGCTGTGTATCCTACAAAGGCCATGTCACATTTGATTAATAGTATGTGCTTGCTGGAAATGCACTGTTTTTATGGTTTGTACAATGAACACAGCAACTCACATGGGTTTAGGAACCTTACTCAAAAGTAAAAAGTAACAAATTACTTCTTGATAAAAGCAGATTTACTATCCTAAAAATATTGGATAAGGATCTTCTTTAGTAATTATTCTGCGTAATTTATAGGCACAATTAAATAATTAAATTAGCTATTTATGATTTTTATTATTACATGTTTTAGTAATGTCAAGTGCTGTAACCACAAAACCTAATTATCTTTAGATGTAACATCATTGCCACAACACATTGTTCACAATCATAATTTTAATGCTGCTCACAAATTATGCATGTGGTAATGAACAGTCTAACCAATATTCTAAAATTAGTAATAATTTCTTAACACAAATCTATTACAGTAAACTGATGGTCTGTTATATTTCTGTTTTCCCCTTTATGATCTGGAGAAGAGAACAGAGATGAATAAACCTCAAATTCAGTTAATTATTTTTTTGGGGTGAAGGGCAATCTGTGGTTCTGCAAATCATGCTGTTTTTGAAGTACGTTTGTTATTTGTAACACCAAAAACCTCCTCAAGATCCCTATTTTTTC